AGTAAGTAAATTTAGGTAGCCTTTGGGTCATGGTTTGATTGTGTTTACTTACCATATTCAGGAAACCAAAAAGAGTAGCTGACCACTGAGTGCTGTTAAACACTGCGCGAGCTTGTGAATTTAGTGAGTAAGCAAATTTGTCTAGTGAGGGAGGAGGTGCCAACTTGTCCTTTTACACAAAAGTAATGAGCTCATAAAACGAACCAGAGCGCAGCAGTAGTACGTGAGAATTGAAGCTTAGGAGCGTTATTATGTGAGCAGTTAGTGAATTTCATTTTTTTCTCTGTCTTGAAAGAGCTGAACTCCAGGTTGAGGTGAGATTGATTGCCCTTGACATCAACGTTGCATTTCATTGGGTTTGGTATCCAGGACGCTTTCCAAAATTAGAATCAAAGATATCAGAGGCAAAATTCTCCACTGGTTGGGAGAATTATCATGGTGTTTGGAGGTCAATCATTTCAGCTGCAGCAGTTCCTCAGGAGAGGGTCCCTGGTCCAACCATCATCAGCTGCTTTATCAATGACCTTTCCTCCATCCTCAGATCAGAAGTAGGGATATTCACTAATGATTACATAATGTTCAAAACCAGTAGAAGCTCCTCAGATTCTGAAGCAGACCACTTCCAAATGAGTAAGACCTGAATGGTACCCAGGTTTGAGCTAACGAGTAACATTCATGCCAGACAAAAGAGAACCTAACCATTGCCCCTCAAGATTTATTGAAATTACCATCACTATCAACATGCTGGATGTTACCATTGACCAGAAACTGAACTGGACTAGCCATATCAATACGTTGGTTACAAGAGCAAGTTGGAGGCTATGCGTCCTGCAATAAGTAACTCACCACCTGACTCCCAAAACACACTCTCCACCATTTAGAGGGCACAAGTCAGCAGTGTGATGGAATACGTACTACTTGCCTGAAGAAGTGCAGCATCAACAACACTCAAGAAGCTTGACAACACCCGGGACAAAGCAAACCACTTGATTGGCTCAACATCCTCAAACATTTGCTCCGTCTATCACTAATGCTCAGTAGCAGGAGCATGTACCATCCACAAGATGCACTGCAGAAATTCACCAAGGCCTCTTCGACAACTCCTGCAAAACCCACGACCATTATCATCTATACAGCCAAAGGGGAGCAGATAAATGGGAACACCATCACCTACAAGTTCCCCTCTGAACCACTTGCCATCCTGACTTGCTCCTTTTACAGTGTTGCTGTGTTAAAATCCTGAAACTCCCTCCCTAACAAAACTGTGGAACTACCTACAGCAAATGTACTGCATTGGTTCAAGAAGGCACCTCACCACCACCTTTTTGAGGATAATTAGGAATGGGCAATAAATGCTGGCCCAACCAGTGGTGTCTACACTCCCTAAATTATTTTTTTTAAAAGAATGCAATAGTTTAAACTGGTACCAGAAAAATATAAGTATTGCATTAAATTTACAGCTTAACTAGTTAAAGCACTTAAAGTACCTATGGATAAGCATTGGAGTTCATTTTCCAGGTTTAAATAGTTAAATAAAACACAACAATGATGACAGGGCTGCAGCACCTACATCTGCAGTAAATGTTTGAAGCATGAGGAACTTCAGCTCAGCTCAGAGCTGATGAGTTGGAAGCTAAGCTATGGATACTAGTATGCATCAGGGAGCAGCAAGCTACCTGGACACTTTGGCTAGGATCTTCTGATTTGGCCAATACCTAGGGGCAATGTGAATGAATAAGGCAGCTCAGAGGACCGAGCAGGTTGAAGTATAGGACACTTAGCCCTTGCAGTTATCCACAGGTTCACGATTCATGCAGCTTATGTGGATGAGAGCAGAGGACACAAGGTGTATGAGTGAACTAACCATGGTGCCCTGGTTCAGGAAGGCATTGAAGTGGGAAGAGTTAAAATGAATGGATGGTGGGATGTGGAGTTGGAGAGGAGGAAAGGATTCAGTTGTCCTGGCCTGTATGAGCACCAACGACATAGATAGGACTAGGAAAGAAGTTCTGTTTGGAGATTATGAATAACTAAGAGTTAAATTGAAAAGCAGGCCATAAACATAAAGGTATTACTCTCGGGAATCTACCTACGCCATGAGCAAATTGGGATGACATGAGAAGTTTAGAGACATTAATGTGTGTTTCAAAGATTGGCATGGGATTACTGAGGCACATGCACCAGCACTGTGGAAAGTGGACGCTGTAACTTTGGGACCAGTTTCACCTAAACTTTGCTCTAGTGTTCTATCAAGTCATATAACTTAGTTGATAGACAGGATTTAAATTAAATAGTGGCAGGAGGGATCACATGAGAGAAGATTTGGTAAATCAAAGGGAAACAAGAAGGTAATAGATCACTGTAACAGTTTGGGTGATGATTGCCAGAGTGTGCCTGCAGATAAAGGCTAGGATTGTTTAAAAAAAATGGTGAAAAGACAGAATTAAAGGATCTGACCTTTATATATGTACACAGCTGTATAATTTATGACAATTTATTACAGAAATGTGCTTCCGGGGGTCAAGGGTAGGACCTGAATATGGAAGGTATTTGGCATTTCAAAAAGATAGGAGGCTGGAAAACATGAAGGGTGCTTTCAAAATCAAGGATATCATTAGAACAGTGATGAGAGATGACCATACCCCTCAAGATCAAGATGTAAAATTGCATACAGTAGAAATAAGAAATATTAAGGTGGAGGTATTGACAGTTACTTTGTCAGTCTTCATGTCTTGATGAGTTAGAAAACTTTCCAAAGAAACTTGAAAATCTAGAAATGAACAGGAGCAAGGAACTGAACTGGAAACAATCATCATCAACAAGGAAAAAGTGCTGAAAAAACTAATGGACCTCTGAAGGCTGACGTCCTCTGGACCAGGTGGCATACATCCTAGCAGCTTCAAAGAAATGGCCGTAGAGATGCTACATGTATTTATTATAATCCTCCACAATTCCTTCTATTCTAGAAAGGTCCATGAATATTGGAAAATAGCAAATGTCATATCCTTTTTCAAGAGAGGAAGGGAGCCAGAAAGGAGGAATTGAAAAGATAGTTTACCCAAATCTGACACAGGGAAATTGCTGGAATCCATTATCAAGGAAGTTATTGCAGGATGCTTTGAAAATCATTTGTTCAGGCGTGGTCAACCTGGCATCATGAAAGAGAAATAGAGGTTAAGTAAATTACTCTAATAATTTAATGCGGATGCTACATCAAAAATTATTACACAATTTAAGAGCACAAGATTATGGTGTTAACATTAGCATAGATAAAAGATTGGTTAACTAACAGCAGGAAGTTGTGATAATTTTTTAGATTATAGTTACCGGTTGCAAGCCCCAGTATGGAGGCCTCAACTATTTGCAATCTACATCAATGCCTTGATGAAAGTACCAAATATATGGCAGCTAAATTTGCTGATGACACCAAGATAGTTAGGGAAGTAATCTGGCTAGAGAACAGGTGAGAGTCTATAACGGGATAACAGACCGGTTAAAGTTAATGGGGGGGGAAAAAAATTTGGCAGATAGTGTAATGTGGGAAAATGTGAACAGGAGGAATAGAGGACCACTATACTCAAGTGGAAAGCAAGATTGCAGAACTTGGTGGGAAAAGGATTTGGGTGCTGTGGTACATGAATCACAAAAAGAATGCACTTGCAGCAAGGGATTAGGAAGCAATTGGAATGTCATTGTTTATTGCAAGGCAAATGGAACGTAAAAGTTGGGAAGTTTTGCTGCACCTGTACACAAGGCCTTGTTGAGATCACATTTGGAGTAGTGCATACAGTTTCAGTCTCCTTATTTGGAAAACAAAATACATAATTTCATTAAAAGCAGCTCGGAGAAGGTTCACTGAACTCATTCTTGGGATGAATGGCATATCTTTCAATGAAAGGTTGAACAGGTCGGGCCTTAACCCACTCGAATTTAGGGGAAAAAAAGGTCTTATAGAAGTGCATTAGATCCTGAGGCGATGTGATAGCATGAATACCAGTAAGATGTTTTTTTCTTGAGGATCGACACTCTAACTAAGGTGGTGTGATGGTTTAAGAATAAGAAATCTTAAGACTGAGGTTAGGAGAAATTTTTTTTTTCTGAGGGTTATTAGTTTGTGGATTTTTCCCCCAGAAAGCAGTGGTGTCTGCATCATTTAACTTACTTAATTACAAGTTAGATTTTTGAAGAGTTAAAGGGAGTCAAGAATTCTGAAGGACAGAACAGGAAGTGGAGTTGAGACCACAACCAGATCAGCCAAGATCTTACTCAGACCAAAAAAACTGCAGAAGCTGGAATCCAAGGTAGACAAACAGGAGGCTGGAAGAACACAGCAGGCCAGGCAGCAGCTGGAGAAAAGGAGCAGTCACCATTTCAGTTATTGCCCTTCTTCAGGACCAGAAACAAGATCTTCTTGAAGTGGCAGAGCAGGGTGGAAGGATAGAATGGCCTACTCCTCCTCAGTACTTAGGTCCTGTGCATCAATGCAAGTGTATAGTTAAAATTGAAACTGTTAGGAGTGCATTTGAAAAATGTAAAAATGATTCCAAATATAACACTTTTACTGCAAAAATTAAAAATGTTCCGGAAGAACATGATCGTGGACACTGGCAGAAAACCACAGTTTGCAGAAGAGGGGAGAACAACATGTGGAAGAACTGTGCACAGTTCTAAATTGATTGCATCTAGCCCCTGCTTTGTAGCCTTACCTCCTTTATTCAGTACCTAGATATCTACTGAGGTCGCAAAGTTAAATGTGTGACTGTCAGTGGTGAAACAACTCTTCACTCCACAGAAGTTACAAACTAAAGGGTTAAATATAGCTTTCCTGTGAGGATAGCTTCTGAGCGTTACATATTAGGAGATATGAAAAAGTAACATTCAAACACATGGAGCTAGAGCCTGAGTCTTTCGGGTTTCATAAGATGTCCTCCTGAATCATTCCTTGTATCATTATATTGAATGAAACCTGCTAATGTTCACTCACGAGTTTAGTTCGCATCATGCTACAACTATCTGGTTCACTTTACGAGAATCTGGTAACCTTCAATATAGAATGGTGTGTTGGAAATTATAGTACGGTGTGTAGTTTACAAAACAGCATTTTAAATGAAGCATTTGACTCTCAAAATGTACCAAACGTGTCTTGGTAGGATTTGTTGTGATAATAAGAATGGACTGTCAATTTTTGACTTGCATTAAGTGTTTATTGATACTCTGGTTCATGAAAGGCTCAAAGTGTTTTTGTTTTTTGAAAAAAAGACTAACTTCAGACGGTCACCGTGACTTGACCGCAGGTTCAGCCACCTAATGAAAACATCAAGAAACAATAATCAATATACCATTATGAAAAAGTATTGACACTTAGGCATGTACTTCATGTTTGATTTACATCTTTCTGGATAAGTTTCACTTGCTGGAGATGCAAGTGAGCTACAAATTATTCAGCTTTGAAGAAGCAATGAAGCCTGACAGGAAATGCCCAAATTAGCTGTATTTCAGACAACTGCTTGTTTTGGTGGAGCAAATAGATTTGTAACAGTAGCACTGGAAGGATCTCTTTTTCCGTCCCTGTTTTAATTCACCTTTATTCGTGGAACATAGGTATTGATGTTTAGGTAGACGTTTGTTGTCCATCCCCCATTTTGCCTTGAGAAGGTGCTTGAACCACAGCAGTACAATTGCTGTAGATACACACACAATGCCATTAGGGAGACAATTCCAGGATTTGACTTAACAATGCTAAAGGAATGGCAATTTATTTCCAAGGATGGTGAGTGGCTTGGAGGGGACCATGCAGGTGGCAGTGCTCCCTTGCATCTACTGTTTTTGTCCTTCTAGATGGTAGAAATGGATTTGTCTCACACACTCTGAACATGACGCCAGGTGAAAAGCATGTTAGACACACATTCATTCACTGAGAACTCAAGCCTATTTATAAGTTTTGTTACTGCTGAGGTAGCACATCATCAGCTGAACTGTGATCTTAGAGTCCTTGAGGTGTTAAGTTTTAATCTAAGGACTTGTTAACCTGATCTTCCTTTTCATACTAGATATTTTCCCCTTTTAAACTTTACATCTGTATTTGTGTCTGTGTTTGATGTGATTTGTTATTTCTCTTGGAGTTAGTATGTTATAAAATCCCTCTTTCGCTCAAGGAAACCACATGACTCTTTGGAATGAATGAACTTATGTTGTTATTGAAGTATGATTTGCTGTGTGTTAATCATAATTAAAAATTCATGTTACAGTCTACTAAGGGTTTAAAGGAGGGGTTCTGACTCGCTCCTCCTCATCTGGTGGTAACACAGTGCCCATTGAATTGTTCCCTGTAAAAACTACTCTGCTTTTACTTTCGTACTCAAATCATACTCTGTGGACAGACACGCCTGATGTCACAAGTCATTTAAGTTGAGCTCAAAACAATTTGGTTATTTCTATTTCCTCTGTCAAAAGACAGTGCAGAGATGTGACTCACTAGATAGGTGTAGTTATTACTGTTTTTAGAGGTTTTATTTCTGTATGGAAACCAGAAATATCCATTGACTGGGTCAGTTATTGGGTCACAAAACAGCAGGAATCACTAAGCATTGTACAGCTACATGGTGGTAGAATGTGTCCCCACGTTATCTGCCAGTCCAGGCCTCCTCCTCCATAACGTGTGTTTACACACCTTTCGAATGTGTGGATTGTTTATCCTAGATTTACAATGCTTTATTGATTCACTGTTGAGTCTTTAGCACTATGTCACTTATATACTTTTTATAATCACAGCAAATTCTTAATTTTTTGAAAAATGATGTCTTCTGTAATGTTACTTTCCTTTGTCCATTGGTGATTACCAATTTCAATGTATACAAAACTGGAAATGCACAAGAACTGTTGGCTACAGTAAAGACCAATAACTTAATGCAGGCAATATTGTATCTTACTCTACTTTTAGCTCTATTGAGCAACAGTCATTCACTAACTGGTGGTGCTGAAATTACTGCTTGCACGTCCCAAAGATCCCTTTGCTCAGTTTCTTATTTCAGAGTTAACTTGTTGATTTTCCTTCTGTCTCCCTGTAGGTCTCTGCAACCGTCATGGTGCCATTCTGGCAGTGGGTCTTGGTAAAATTTGGAAAGAAAATAGCACTGTTTGTGGGACTTATTGTAAGTGAATTTGTTCATCAAAAAAGTCTTTCTGTCTGCCTTAGGAAACATGAATGAAATGTGTTTTTGTAACGTTGTAGATCTTAAGAAGCCTGCTTTAACCTATATGTCACTGTGTCATAATTGAGCCACTGACTGACTGACTGACTGTTTCTGATTATTTTCCTGTATGTTTGTTTTCTTTTTGTGTGTTTGTGCTTTTACATATAAGTGTGCTTTTTGTTTAAAAGAACATGTGCTGATGACTTCAGGTGACACAACAGTGTAGAAGAATTGTGTTTAAATTGACTTTAACCCAGTATTTGTCTGGTCAATGAATTGGTGTTTTGTTGCCAAATTAGTACATAAGTAATGTAATTTCTTTTGATAGCACTTGCTGTTAAAATATAATAGTTTTTTTTTCCTATAAAGGACAGCGTCTTTGAGTTCCACTTTCAAAGAAATATATCCCTGCAGAATAAATATTTTCAATTCACCAATTTTCAATTTGAATGCTTCTTTATATCATTCATGGCATTGATTATTTGTGTGAAGAATAGTTTGCATGGTTTCAGTAGTTCTAATGCTGACCTGGGAGAACCCTCATGTAGACTTAAGATCTTATGAAACAAATTTACGCATTGCATTCTCACCTTCAGTAATGTATTTATTGTGTTATTATATTTCCAATTTGAAGCAAACACAATGTCTTCATGCAAACAATCAATTGCTGATGAGACATGGTGTTCTTTTCTGTCAATTTTTTTAATATCATTGCATATAAACTAAATGCATACGGTGTTCCTTGGTACTTGAAAAGATTGCTGTGGTTTTTATTAAGGTACAACATAGCATTGTCTGCTTTACCTGAAAGCATTCATTGTTTGTTTATCCATGCGAGTGATTAGTCCATATAGGGCAATTAATTACTGCAGTGAAGGAGACATTGTAACCACTGTAGGTGTGACGTGCTTAGTTTCAGAATGGCATTGTGCAATGATGGGTTACTCAGAGCTCAGTCCATGCCCCTATTCCCTAAACTGAGATAATTGCACTTGGAATCAGAAGGATTAAAAGAAGCAAATAAATTCTACAGCTGTACAAAAAAAAAATGTGACGATGTAGTCTATAAAAGATTCATAAAGGACATTTTTAACTCCTGCTGCTTGGAATCCAATACTGATTTATGAAAGGACTCCAAAGCAAAGCAAAATTTATGATGAACCCCATATTTGACTGAAATATTTTCAATTTTATAATGTCAGACACAAGCCATGAGGACAGCAGTTGTGCTTAACAAAAATGTAATGGGCTAAGTGGGAAAATACAAAATAATGTGTGTTTGCATGAGGTGAGAGTTCAAGGTGTTACATCCTTAGTATGGGTGATCCAGAATGTATAGTTTGCTCTTAAAACCTTGCTGCTCAGAAATAAAGAATTTTGGTTTATTTCTTGTTTATTCATATTTTGGGTTTGATTTATGTTAACTTCTATCTGAACTGTCTTTCATGCTAGTTCAGTAAGCTTAATGTACTGACTGTTAGTATTGCATTTTGATCAGTAATTCTAAGTTGAATTCTTTCACTGATAAGAAATGTAATTTGTGACCTCACCACTGAAGGGTGGGATACTGCTTGCCACTGACACCTATCATCATTTTTTTCCTCATTCACTCTCTCTCAGTGGTACATTCCACCTTTGATCATCATCGCTACAGTTAATGGTAATCTGCCAGTTATTATTGTCATGGCCATCGCTGCTGGTGTTAGCCTTGCTGTTGCTTTCTTGTTACCATGGTAAGTTTGTGCAATTATTAACATCGAGTTTTAATTTGATCTTTGATCCAGAGGAATTTGAGCAATAAGGTAAACAAATGGATAACTGTTGCAGAGATTTCTGCTCCTCCCCTTGAATTTTAAAGGATACATAGAGTATGAGTAAATTGTGGGATTTTGTACCTCCCTACCGCCCCATCAAGTACTTACAAATATTCTATTCACCAGCCTTACTACCACATTCTTGACAATGCATTAATCATTGGCTTATAGGTCAAGCCTTTAAAATAAATACAACAAAGACATGAGGTGAAAATGAATACCAGTCAAAAGTGAGTGAAGTTATGGGGACTTGAAGCTAGGTGGCTGAGAAGGAATACCTGAAAGGAGAGAAGCAGCATGGAAAGGTGTAAGTTTTTAGAGAATAATTTCCTAAAGGGGGACCAACATGGCCCAAGGCAAAGTGCCAGCTGTGGAATGAAGGGACAATATTTAAGAGTAACATAATTTTTTGAAGGTTCGATGACGTTACAGCATTAAAGACAAGTGAAGTCATCAAGGAGTTTTGATGAAAAGATAAGAATTTAAACTTGAAGCATTTGAGATGGGTGTTCCAAGTTGAGGATAGGAATGGATGGGTGCAAGATGGAACATACACGGCAGATATTTGAATGAGGAGATGAAGGAAGGGAAGTCAGCCATGAAAGCATCGAAGTAGTTAATTGTGAAGACAAGATGTGGCAGGAAGAATGGTGGCAGGTGATATTAGAGGATTTGAAGGAGGTGGCTGTTGGATTGGAAAGAACCTTAACGTGAGGTAGGACTCAATGCCTAAATTACAATTTGCCTGACCCAGTCTCATGGTGGCCAGAAAAAGGGAGTCCATTGCATAGCATGAGAGAGTGGGTCATAACAGTAGATTTGGGTTTCCTAATGTTTGACTGAAAGAAATTAAGGTTCATTTAGAACTGAACAAAATGAGCAGTCTGATCTTGGGTAGTTGAAGAGGGTCTTGTTAGAGAGGCAAGGCTGGGTATCGTTGATTTGGATACTGACTGAATATCTGAAAATATTACCATTAAGGGACAGTGCCTCAGAAGGAAAAAGGGAGGGGCTAAGTATAAAGCCTTGAAGGACTCTCAAGGTAACAATGCACAGGTGACGAGAAGTCATTTCGAGAGATGCTCTGACGATGATAGTTTAGACAACAATAGAACCAAAAAAGACGAGTCCCATGGGATGGCAAAGTGAAAAAGAGACAAATTTGCTCCAATTTTTGTGACGCGAGGTAGGTAGAACTTTGTCGTGCTTTAAAGTGAGTTCTTATTGTGTGAATTTTTTTCTTGCTTAACTGTGTAAATGTTGAATTTATGAGATAACACAGTGTGGATCTGGAGGATGAGGCAGCATCAGAGGAGCAGGAATGTTGATATTTCAGGTCAGGACCATTCTTCAGAAATGGGGAGAGGGAAGAGAGCTCAGAAATAAATAGAGAGAGGAGGGGTGGGGCTTGGAAAGGTAGGTAGGATGGTGATGGGTGAGTGCAGGTAGGCAGTGGTGGGGATTGGTCACTGAGGTGGGAGGGGCGAATAGGTGGGAGAGGCAGATGAACAGGTTGTGTCAGGTCAAGGAAGTGGGGATGAGAGCGAGGGTTGGACATGGAATGAGGCCAGGGGTGGGGAGATTTTAAAACTGGTGAAATCCATGTTTACGCCATCGGGCTGTAGGCTCCTGAGGTGGAATATGAGGTGCTGCTGCTCCAGTTTGCGGATGGTGTCATTGTGACACTTGAGGAGGCCCAGGATGGACGTGTCACCCAGGAAGTGGGAGTGGGAGTAAGAGTGGGAGGGGGAGTTAAAATGGTTCGCGACAGGAAGGTGTTGTTGTTTATTGCGTACAGACAGTTTTGTAGAGCATCTGCACTCTGCGACAAAAATGACACCACCTTCCAGTTGCGGACCATTTTAACTCCCCCCCCCCCCCCCCCCCCCCCCCCGCGGGGCCAAACCATCCTGGGCCTCCTCCAGTGTCACAACGATGCCACCCTCAAATTGGAAGAGCAGCACCTCATATTCTGCCTCGGGAGCCTACAGCCCAATGGCCTAAGCATGGATTTCACCAGTTTTAAAATCTCCCCACTCCTGGCCTCATCCCATGTTCAACCCTCCCTCTCATCCCTGCTTCCTTGACCTGACACAACCTGTCCATCTTCTCTCCTACCTATCCACCCCTCCTACCTCACTGACCAATCCCCACCACTCCCTACCTGCACTCACCGATCACTATCCCACCTACCTTCCCAGCCCCACCCCTCCTCTCTTTATTTCTGAGCTCCCTTCCCCCTCCCCATTTCTGAAGAAGGGTCTGGACGTGAAATGTCAATTTTCCTGCTCCTCTGATGCTGCCTGGCCTGCTGTGTTCCTCCAACTCTACACTGTATTATCTCTGACTCCAGCATCTGCAGTTTTTGCTATTCAACGTTGAATTTATGATGGGTTTTCCCTTATATTCAGGATGTCCCAATCTGTCTTACAACCAGTCTCTATTGTATGTAGGGAAACTTTGGAATCAATTTGTATGCAGCCAGTTTCCAATAGCAACTGTGTACCAGACTGGATAATCTGAAACTGAAACTGAATTTACTTGCCATTGTACAATTTTAAAAAAACTGGATACAATTAGTGTGGCTTTAGTGGAAATCCTGGAGAAACAAGTAGCCTTAAACCACCGTTTACTTTATTTCTCTGGTATTTGTGCTACTCTTTCACTGACATTATAGTGGAACCTTTCGGGCAAATATGCACAAAATATCTATTAACAAGTAAATGAAATTATCAATAAGATCGTTATTTTGAAACTCTAAGTACATGCAAACTCGGAGACTCCTTTAGAATGATAAAGGATCCAGGCTGTCTCTTACAGATTGGATTTTGCTGGTTTTTAAACATATATCCTATGTGATGTTAAGTCAAATCTATTATACACAAAATAGTTCTTCTTGGATGATCGGCTATTGGAATATTATGCAACTCTATTTTGAGAAGGAACTTTTAAAATCTGGTGTATTGAAGTCTGCTTTTTAGAATTTGCAGGTTTGGTGGGCTTCCGTTTTATGTCTCGTTTCTTGTATGACCCCTGTTGTATGTGCAGATAAGCCAAATCTGCACCTCACCATGTAGATTTGCTAACATAATTCTTTTTAAGGGATCTACAGGACCCGTTTGTTCTAGTGTGGTAGAGGAAAACTACTTCATAGTCTAATAGAAGAGGCATTTATTTTGAACAAGTGATTTATTTATTAATTTTGACAACTATTTACCAGTTCCATCGATATAGTAGGCATTGTTAAAAAGACTGAGAAGAACTTGGATGTTAGGCCTTACTCCTAGAATGTTCTGGCCATAGGTTTACATGACATCATCATAGAGGATAGTGCATATGGCACACCTGTGTGTTAACCCTTTCAGAACCTTGCACCCTTATTCAACAGTTACCACTATTTTGATGCGGTCTGGAAAATCTTGTTTTTGTGACGAATTATCCAAAACCCATTTGCTGGAATGAACTTTTAAAAATGCAACTCTTTCATTTTAATTAATATCAAATGTTCTGTTCCTGATGCTATTTCTTGTGCAGTTATTTTCCTGAAAATATAATCACCTATTGGATTTAGTGTATGCAATATAATTAACAACATGGCTTTCTCCACATTTCAGAGTGGGAAGGGGACTGTTAGGGAAACCTATGCATCTCCAGTGTAGAGTACCAAGATAAAGGGATTATGGCAAATGATTCAGTTTGTGTTAGAACATTAATAGAAGACATGGTACTCTTTATGGATGATGGCTCTTTTGCGTTGAGAAAGAAGTTCAACTGCAATAACACTAAACCCCATTCATATCTGACCAATAGTGGTTGTGTGTTCATTTGTGCTGTGCCTTATCTTTTTGTCTAATCAACATGTGTCCCAGATGAGGATATCTGATTATTCTGAATTCTTTCACCAGGTCAATGCTCCCAGATGTGGTGGATGATTTCAGAGCAAAGAACCCTCATTGTGTAGACCTTGAACCATTGTTCTACTCGTTCTATGTGTTTTTCACTAAATTTGCTGCTGGAGCTTCCCTTGGATTTTCAACTTTATGTTTGCAGTATGTGAACATTTTATATAACTACACTAATTTGATCTAGTATCTGTTTATTTGACTTTGTTGGCTTTTTTATAATCCTAGGTGCTGTTCATGACTTGGGTTCCTACGTTCATTGTAATCATTCATATATCTGACTTTAATAATTTGCTTAAATAGTATGCTCATTTCATGGTTTTCACCTCTAACCCATTCTCTGTATTTTGACTGCATTTTCCACACACCAAATTGAGCTCTTTTGGGTTGTATTCTGGGGAAAGAAGATGACATGGACAATGATAGTGCTTGATTATCACAGTAGATCCACCGATATCATAGAATCTTTGGATTCCCCACAGTATGGAAACTGGCCACTTGGCCCAACAAGTCCACACTGACCTTCCGAAGAGCATCCCACCCAGACCTAGCAGCACCAACCCCACACCCCCCCCACCACCCCCACCCAGTATGTCAGCTTTGAAATGGTTGACCTAGATTAAAGATAATTGGCAAGTAAAGCAGTGTGCCACAAGGATTGGTGCTGGGTCCACAGCTTTTCATCATTTTATATAAATGATTTGGATGTGAAAAGAGGTGGCATGATTAGTAAGTTTTCAGATGATACCAAAATAGCCAAAATAGGTAGTGTAGTGGACAGTGAAGATTATCTCAGAGTACAACGGAACCTTGATGGGCCAAGGAGTGGCAGATGGAGTTTAATTTAGATAAATGTGAGGTGTTACATTTTGGTAAGGCAAACCAGGACAGAACTTATACACTTAATACTAGGGTCCTAGGGAGTGTTACCGAACAAAGAAACCTAGGGATGTTGGTAAATAGTTTCTTGAAAGTGGAGTCGCAGGTATCCAGAGTGGTGAAGAAGGCGTTTGGCACACTTGCCTTTATTGGTCAGAACATTGAGTATAGGAGTTGGGACGCCATGTTGTGGCTGTACAGGATATTGGTGAGGCTGCTTTTAGAATACTGTGTACAATTCTGGTCACCCTTCTATAATAAGGATGTTGTTCAACTTGACAGGGTGAAGGAAAGATGGAATGAGCTACCAGAGGAAGCGGTAAAGGCGGGTGCAATTATAACATTTAAAAGACATCTGGATGGATATATGAATAGGAAGGGTTTAGAGGGATCTGGGCCAAAGACTGGCAAATGGGACTGGATCAGGCTGGGATGTCTGGCTAGCACAGATGAGTTGGACTGAAGGGTTTGTTTCCATGCTGTAAGACTCTGTGACTCTGTAAAGTGAAACTTGGGAGATCAATTAATGAAATGTTTATACCTTTGTAGTACAATTACACAATAGTTTGTTTTCAGAGACAAAGTAAAATGAAATTTCAAGGTCTTAAGCTAAGTAAAAGTCAAAGACGGTCTTGAGTAGGAAGCAGTGTCAGCTCTGAGCATTGGTTGGTTAATTTGATAGCCTGCTAGTATACAGAATGGGACTGGAAGAATGTCTGATAAGTGATAAAGCACAGAGGACCCTGTCAGCGCCTCATTTAAATAAAACATCCTGGAGCCCCACTTAAACATGGCCATGTTCATGACCTGGCCAAATTTATCAGTATTGGTGCTACTGAGCCACTCTTGGTGATGGACATTTATGGCCCCTCAGCCTGAGTACGATCTGTGCTGCAGCCATCCTCAGTCCTTTCTGCAATTGGTGCTTAAAATGGAGGAGGATTGATTTATCAGTTGCGGGGTGGCTTCAGGTGGTAATGAACCAGGAGCTTTCCTTCCCTGTGTTTGTCCTGATGTCATGAGATTTCATGGGATCCAAAGTCAATGTTGAGGATGCCTAGGATAACTCCTTCTTGACTGTATACCACAGTGCTATCACTTCTGCTGGGTTTGTCCTGCTGGTGGGACAGGACATAACCAGCTGTGTCTGAGGCATTGTCTGCAAGATTCAAACAGGTTGCCAGGGTTATGGAAGGAGTGCGAGGGGACTAATATGACAAGGTGAAGACTGACATGAAGATTCTAATGCAGAATCCAAAGTGGCATTATTTCTCAATGAAACAAGTTATCTTATTCCAAGTGTAATGTGCAGAGGTGATTAACTATAAAATACAGTATTCCAGAATAACACAAACTTCAGGAGGCCAAGGATAACTGGACATTGGGGCTGAATTTTGGCTACTTAGGCTCATGTAAGGAAATTAATGACTCTCAAATCAGTCTTGATTTTAAAAAGTGGCTCAGAACATGCAACTTTTCCCACTCTACTGTGGCCAGATGAGTGTCAGATGTGCCAATTCCGTAAGTATAGTGTAGATGTATGATAATTGTAGCTTTTGAAACTCAGCCAGATATTTACAATGATGGTTTCTGGGAGGTATGTTAAGAAAAAGCTGTATTGAAACTGCACGACCAGATGCTACTTTGCTCTTCAATGCCTGCAAATCAAAGCAGTCAGCAGGGTTTTTTTAACCTCTCTATAAAATGGGCAGTAGCAATCAGAGAAAGTTAAGAGACAGTACATATAATAAAAGCTTAAGATCATGCCAGCTGTATAGATTTTATTCAATCGGCAAAAGTAAGAACATTCACTCCATCATTTCAGGACTCCCATACTGCTGGTTAAGGCTTTTGGACCACATGAAATGCAGTCTGTTTAAACTTGGCACTGAGTTCAGTTGACTTCAAGTCCAGATTTCCTGAATCATGCTGTGGTCCACTTTCCCCTATACCAAAAATGGGATCTGTTGGAAGTGGGAGTGTGCCCTCTGCACCTGAGAGCCGCCTGATATTTTTGAAGGTTCATATCCTGACTCAAAAATCCAGCCTGTGTAACTTTAAGAATGTATGGTTTCACCATCTAGTCCCTTGATGGGTTTATGTATTCTTTTGTTATACTTGTAACTGTGTGCAGTATTGTTGTTTATCCATCAAATTTTCATTGAATGTGAAATGTTGCAAACACCTGGAGCTCAAAGGAATTCTATTGTTTGTATGTCTGCTTAGTTTTTCAGGTTACAGACCAGGTTCTTGTGAATACATTTCAGCTGTGGCAAGGACGCTGAAGGTGTTGATAGCACCAGTTCCAATAACCCTGCTGCTGATTGGTTTAATAATATTTTACTCTTACCCAATAAATGAGGCACGAAGAAAAGAATTAAAGATGGAGCTTGAAGGAGTTGTGTAAGTGCCTGGAGTAATCGACAAACTGAGCATTGGAGAAACTGTGTGGTGGAGTAGAAGTGAATGAAACAGTGCTTTGATTGAAGTCCAGTCCAGCAAAATGTTATTTATTGTTAAGTTTTATTGACTTCCTACCTTGTGGTAGCATCGTTTGTACTGCCTTCGGAAAGAACCAGTGATCGTGCTCATAACTGCCACCCTTCTCATTTTAAAAGTAGCAGCAACCTAGCTTTGCCTCGCAAGAAATTATGCAACAGAATAAAAATAGTCCTTTCTACCTCAAACATTTTCATTTCGAATCATATACCTGATAGGTGAGGTAAGACTTCCCAATCTAATCATTTTGAGGAAATCTTTTCATTGAGTTTTCCTCAGTTCCCAAAGGTGAAAAATATGTAAAACTGCACCTCATTTGAAAAGTTCTGATTTTACAAACCCAGTAAGATTGGATAATATCTGAATATTTAAGGATGAACTTTTTCATTTGCAGTGGCTTTGTCAGAATATTTCTATCTTTTCATTAAGTGTGAAATTGTTGGAAGTTGTGGCTGCAGAATAAGACGACATGCTTGCACTCATTTCTGAGCAGTCAAAGAAAGAATTGCAAGATGTACAGTACAGTTTGATGCTTTACATATCTAGTGTAAGATTCAAGCTTTTTGGATTACAAGTTTATGGTATATGGTGGGTGAAATATGGACTCATGACTAAAGTGTAATGTAAGTGTCCCTTTTGGATATGTGGAAATGAAGTATCTGTTTTAAAACCTTTGTAGAATAATAAATTGCAAAATAATGAGTGCGACTTCATTTGTTATCTGGTACTTAAGTCTAGTTAACTGTTTTTGCAAACACGCCATCAGTGGTAGCAGTAAGTAACCTCTTTAATGGTGAGAGAGAAGAAGTGAAATAACAAATTGTTTATTTTACAGAATTTGTAACCACTAGAAGGAAAATGGAATTTACTTTTCCATTGCCAAATATAAAATTTAGAAAGGGTCTTAAATTGGGCTTAACAGACTCAAGAACTGAACTTGTTCACAACTGGGGCACTGCCTGTGATAGCAGAGTAGTTAGAAATACAGAATAAATTTAAACAGAATCAACTTGGCCTCCAAGGGGTAATCATACCTGGCCAATTTATTATGGTTTTTTGAGGAGGTAACAAGCAGACTAGGTAAAGGGAAACCAGGTAGATGTAATATATTTGGATTTGCAAAAGGCATTTGCTAAGCAACCACACATAAGGCTACTTGATAAAATGAGAGCTCATAGTTTTGGGGTAGTATATTAGCATAGATAGAGGATTGGCCAACTAATAGCAGACAGTTGGGATAAAGTTGGCAATTTCATATTACAGTCTGTAACTAGTGGTATGCTATAAAAATCACTGCTAAGGCCACAATCACTCACAATATGTACTCATGACTTGAATGACAGAAGTGAATGCATTATTGCCAGATTTGCTGATGATACAAAAATAAAGAAGGCAAGTAGTCAGCATTACACAATGAATCCAGACAAATTGAGTGGCCAAATACCATCCGCTGGTGTAATGTGGGAAAATGTGAAGTCCACTTTGGTAGGAAAAATAAGAGCTGAATGTTATTTAAAAGTGGAAAGACTGCAGAAAACTGCACCACAAAGTTTTGGGGGTCATCCCGCATGCATCACAAAAAGCAAGCATCCAAGTTCAATAGAGAACAGGGAAGGCAGATGGTATGTTGGACTTTGAAGTAAAGGGAATGGAATATAGAGAAATCTCAAACTATACAAGGTACTGGTCAGACCATACCTGGAATACAGTGAACAGGTCCCTTCATTCTGAGCTATTTGCTGCAATATTTATTTTTGTACAATACGTCATTACATTATGAATGGAAATGAAGTATTAATTACAAACAAAAACAATTGAAGGAACTGAAACGAAGGAGCAGAATAGAGAAGCTTTGTGCTGGTCTCCTGAATCATACTGTTGGTTGTTGTGTAATTTTATAAATGATGACTTTGTCTCTTTTTGCCTAATAGGAAAAGCTGGGAAGTGGAACTGGAAGAGAATACACTTTAAAAACAACCCTGCCCATTGTAAGAACTGAGATCTTTGCAGATTCCGGCTTCAGTTGGATTGAGATGCAGAATTCTTGGAATGCAGATGTATGGGCTAGTGGTCACCAAAGTGTGCCTCCTTGTGTATATTACTAAATGTGGCTCATAATGGAGCTGTGATGTAGAGACGGGTCTAAAATGCAAACCGAAGGAGACATCAACAAATCAAACATCTCTTTACCCAACAGGGCTGCACCACAACCCAAAACTGAAATAAAGGGAGTTTATGTCTTTAGTTTTTTTTACTTTAAAGAAACGTTTTCCAGTTTGTATCAAACGACATACTAAATTCAGTCCTCTGCAGGATGACTTCCTGAGAAGAGCTGAGCAATCTCTAGTGTTTTGAGCAGAAGGATTGCAGGCTGTGAGAATGACTTACCAACTTCTCCCTTGATCTTTGCTATTCTTTAAGTCCCAATTAAAGCCCCAGTGAAAGTAAACAGAAGATAGAATGGAATCATTCTAGCATAGTTGATCCGTTGCCCAAGTGATAAATGGGTGAAATTACAGGATGCTATTTGAAAGAGCGTTGGAAAGAATGATATGTTTTCAGCTATTGTAAACCAATTGATAAAGACCTTGATTATTTTCAGTTTAGTTCCTCTCATCACCTCTTCTATACTGACCAGCATAGGAAAAGTTTTTTTTTGTGTTTTGGAGCAAACCTCTATATAATAAATACATTTGTTAAAAGGAGTTCACTTAATAAATGCTGCCACAAACAAATCTTAACATAGGAATCAAGCATTGTGGGAGAGGTATACTCAATTTAGTCCTGTAATCATAGCCTAATCCTTAACCCTCCTTTGTCTTTTAGTTTTTGTACTGAACCATTATCTGAAATAATAGTAGCACATTATAGCTAAATTGTTACAGAACCAAGACTCTTGAGATTAACAGCAATTTGTCTTTGAAAATAAAATGAAAATAATGCCCTTGAGACAAATGCTGATTGTTCCTCTGTAAACAAGGAGAACACATGTGAGCTGAGCTTCAGCCTGTGAACCAAACTGATGATTACAATAAAATACATCAGTTATAGGAACTAAGTGGTCTGCCATGAGATGTCTAAGAATTGTATTGATACGTTAAAAATGCTTTTAAAAAACTTGGGAGATCATTTGAACTCTCAATTTCAGGATGACTCATTGTGCTTTTTAAATCCCTGCTGTATAGTTGTGGTGATTCTGAAAATATGGTACTGTTGGAACTGTTTTGAAAGCACTGATGTAATTAACATTACAAGCAGTTTTTAGGACAGGAAGCTAAACACAACCACTTCCTCCTCCCATTTATGACTAACATTTAATAACTTGAAATAAGAAAAATTAAATGTGTGTTTATATTTGGACACTGAAGGACCTTTAAGTGCTGTCCAAGAATCAGTAGGATTGTAATATTTTTCATCAGAGTCGGTGTGAAATACAATTCAAGACAAAAATTAAAATTAACATGATGTAACTCATAAAACATGTTTATTAATACTTGACTACAGCAAATAATTTGACTGAGTCACTTGATCTACATTGGATGTTTAGTAAAATTTTCCATCTCTGTGGAAATTTGCTGACATTGTCATGAAATCCAGTGAGCAAAATTATTTCATACAGTAAAGGTAATCTATACCAGTGTTTGTATCTAATAACCAGTGTAGTTACTCAAATGGAAGGATGGAGGGAGAAATTCAACATCACATCTGATAATTCAAAATCATCTTAGTCCAGGAGAAGGGTGAAGCAACCATTACAGGCTTATATAAGACTAACTGGAACATTACAAATTATGTCTCAGATTATGCTCCCTGTATATTTCTATTGATTGTTTATGTCTGTGTTGTATATGTTTAGAAGTAATTTATTGTAACTATATTTCTGAAAACTTGGATTTTTTATGAATGTTCTCAAGTTTATATATTTTATATTCTAAAGTTGTAGCCTGGGATTTAATGTATTTTTTTCTTTACTGTGCACAATATCTATATTAAAGAAAACTGCTTGTGTGCTTTGAGACTTCTTTTTGGTTGGTAGCGATTCCTGACATGGCATCTCTTCCAGCAAATATTATGAATCTAGATTAACTTCTGATTGTTCTGTATTTCATTACCTTAGTTGTTAGTGTTATGTGAGAAGATGAAGAGTCTTGTGGAGCAATGGTAGCACCCCTACCTCTGAGCCAGAAGACCCAGTTCAAGTTCCACATAATCTGGAAGTGTGTCATAACATGTCCAAAAAGGCTAATAAAAATAACAGAGAGAGAGCTCTTGTCACGAAATGGATAACATCCTTGCTTCTGAGTCAAAGGCTCTGGATTGAAATCCCACTTGAGGCCAAGAAATGTGCATGGAAAAAGTGGGCAAATAGGCTGAATATCAGTTTATAACTCCTTACCAAACATGTTTGCCCTGTCCCTTCATAATGCCCTACAGCTGTTTAATGACAGCCTTGACCTTGGTACCAAGAAGCAACAAACAATCCTAGAATCATAGCTATAGTTACAGAAATCCCTGTCTGTACTACTCACTATAGAATCTTAGTTACCAGTGTGCAGTTGGGCTGTGACTGCACAACCCAGGGGCATCATCACTTCCTCCATTTTCCAACACAGAAAACCATTTTCTTAAAAAAAAAAAGGGGAAAAAACAGAGTTAAAGTTTCGGGTCCAATGACCCTTTTACAGAACTGGACCTGAAAAATTAACTCTGCTTTCTTTCCATGGAAGCTTCCAGACCTGTTGAGGTTTTCCAGCAATTTCTGTTTGTTACAGAAAAAAACCCTTCTTGAGTAAGCTGCACAGCTGGGGCTTTCCTGCCTGCTTCCCTTCTTCTGGCTGTTGGTCACCGTTCCAGCCTTGACTGCATTTCTTTGTACTGTAGGGTCACTCTGCTAATGCACCAAACTCTCAGTCCCATAGAAACACTTTGACCCTCCAGTCGACAAGCTCCAAAACGTAGTGCTCAAGCTGATGAAAACAGTCTCATTAGCTTTATGTTGAACAAGATTTGTTAAACAATACATCCTGCTGAAGTTTGAAGCGTATCAGTGTTATTTTCCAAACATCTTTGTGATACGGTTTCTTGCCCTAGTCCAACTTAACCTAATTCCAGGAAGATGTTGAATTCAGCCCTGCACTAAATAAAACCTTCTTATAATAGGGTTCTGGCTTCACATGATATTTGGGCCCATGAATTACTATGGTATGAAATTCATCTCACTGAAAACAACTGTTCCTGAACCTGGTTTCTTTGGCGTGAGTAAGGCAGACTTGGGCATGCATGATTAATCATCTTTAACAAATATTCCAAGCAAGTGGGCTACAGATTTATGGAGACTTCAAGTTGATGTCACGTTTTCACTAAGTATAATTGCAAGTTTTCATTCACCAACGTATAATTTTGAGTTAGAAAATTTATTGTTTATATGGTACAGCCTTGATTTCAGAAGTGTTATTAATATCATATGCTTCCAAGACATGGGACAGGTCAGTAACAAATTTAATGCTCACAGTGGCTTCTAGCCATAATAATGCTACTAGTTTGTGGGCAGCATTTCTGAAAACTCATCCCATCCTGTTCTACATCCCCATTTCTGGGGGGTGTAAATTCTCTTTTAAAAAAAAAAGGGAAGCTTTGTTCTGTAGGTATTTGCAGTGTCCAAAAAATTGCTACAAAGCATAAAAAAATGTTGTCTTATAGATTGTTTCACCAACACCAACTATTTATTTCCATCTATCAAGGCAAGTTCTATAGATTCCTTTATTCTTGTTACCTTTGTCTTGTAGGGTTATCGGTTTTGTGCAGACATGAAAACAGTTGCATGTTTACTGATACATGCTGTGCCTCCTGTTACCATGAACCCTGCTCCTCCCACAGACTCAAGTCTGCATAATTCTACCCTCATGGATTATATCAACCATGTGGTCTGGGGGTGTTGTGTGGCTGTACTGCACTCTTGAGGTTGCCCTATTTAGCGAGGTATCCTCATTCCTTTTTGGAGAATGATTATTGTTTGACTCTTGGGAGTTCTTTTAAACTGTATGTTTAAATTCTAACTGTCTCAATATCACATGACTTAATATCAGAGTTGGATCATCATGGGAGATAGTAGAGAGAAGCAATGCTGAGGGAGAGATTGGTATCAGCATACATGTAGAACCTAGCACTACTTCTGGATGATGTTGCAGCATGTAGTTGAGAAATAGCAGGGGTATCAAGGATTGATCCTTGGGGAATTTAAGATACTAGTGCGGCAACACCAAGAGTAATTATTATAGGTCACTGTCAGCTGACTTGAAGGGGAGAAACATTAACTAACAGGAGTACCAGCAGGGGAAGTTGGGAATCAGAATCAGCAGTTTAATGGGAATAGGTCCAAGGAGCAGGGAAGGAGTCTCCCAAACAAGTGGAGCTCAGTAGCCAAGAGCAGAGATTCAAGAGAAATTAGAAGAAGGTGCAACAGTAACCCGAGCTAGATAGATGAAGTTTGAACAAGTCAAAGGGAAGGAAACAGCGGAGGCAGATGAGAGAATGATGGTAATCTTAGTTATGATGTAGATTACTCATATAGGTACTGTTTCAGGAAGTCAGTCGTTAATTTTCAAATTAAGAAAATGTTAAATTTATCACGATTTTAATAGTAATCTACAAAGCAATTAGTTAAACCAAAACTATGGGTGCTATCTATACATGTAAAATGACTATACACTTAGTTGTAAGTTTGTACATTTATGATTTTTATAGTTAGCACACACCAGATTTTCTACAGTACGGTAACGGATTAATTTGGAACACGAAGTTTAGCATTGAACTGCATTAGCTTTATTGTCACATGTACTCATGAGGACAGTGAAAAGTTTACAAGTCACCACTTATTGCACCATCTTTGGTAGGCAATGGCCTAGTGGTATTATTGCTAGACTATTAATCCAGAAACCCAGCTGATGTTCTGGGGAAACCCGGGTTCGAATCCCACCATGGCAGATGGTGGAATTGGAATTCAAAACAAAAGTCTGGAATTAAGAATCTACTGATCACCATGAAATCATTGCCGATTGTCAGAAAAACCCATCTGGTTCACTAATGTCCTTCAGGAGAGGAAATCTGCCACCCTTACCTGGTCTGGCCTACATGTGACTCCAGACCCACAACAATGTGGTTGACTCTGAAATGGCCTAGCAAGCCATTCAGTTGTACCAATCACTACAAAGACTCAAAGAAATGAAACTGGACAGATCACCCTGCACCGGAAAAGACAAGGGCAGAAACAGCCCTGTCGACCATTAATATCTGGGGTTAGTACCAAAATTGCTGTCTCAAGATGAGTCAAGCAACAGCCTGACATAGTCATACTCACAGAATCATACCTTTATAGACAATGTCCCACATACCACTGTCACCATCCCTGGATAAATCCTGTCTCACTGGCAGGACAGACCCAGCAGAGGGGGCGGCACAGTAGTATACAGTGGGGACAGAGTTGCTCTAGGTAGTCCTCAACATTGACTCCGGACTCCATGAAGTCTCATGGCTTCAAATTAAACATGGGCATGGAAATCTCCTGCTGATTAGCACATACTGTCCTCCCTCAGGTGATGAATCAGCTCTCCTCAATGTTGAGCAACACTTGGAGGAAGCATAGAGGAAGGCGAGGGCACAAAATGAACTCTGGGTGGGGGATTTCAATGTCCACCACCAAGAGTGGGTCGGCAGCAGTACTACTGATCGAGCTGGTTGGGTCCTAAAGGACATAGCTGCTAGACTGGGTCTGTGGCAGGTGGTAAGGGAACCAACAAAAGGGAAAAACATACTTGACCTCATCCTTACTAATCTGTCTGCTGCAGTGGCATCTGTCCATGACAGTATCGGTAAGAGTGACCATCGCACAGTCCTTGTGGAGACGAAGTCCCGCCTTCACATTGAGAACACCTCCATCATGTTGTGTGGCACCTTCCCCGTGCTAAATGGAACAGACTTTGCACAGATCTAGCAACTCAAGACCGGGCATCCATGAGGTGCTGTGGGCCATCAACAGCAGCAGAATCATATTCCAGCACAATCTGTAACCTCATGGCCCAGCATATCCCCAACTCAACCATTACCATCAAGCCAGGGGATCAACCCTGGTTCAATGGAGAGTGCAGGAGGACATGCCAGGAGCAGCACCAGGCATACCTGAAGATGAGGTGTCAACCTGGTGAAGCCACCAAAAAGGACTACTTGCATGCCAAACAGCAAAAGCAGCAAGTGATAGACAGAGCTAAGCGATCCCACAACTAACAGATCAGATCTAAGCTCTGCAGTCCTGCCACATCCAGTTGTGAATGGTGATGGACAATTAAACAACTCACTGGAGGAGGCGGCTCCACAAATATTCCCACCCTCAATGATGGAAGAGCCCAGCACATCAGTGCAAAAGATAAGGCTGAAGCATTCGCAGCAATCTTCAGCCAGAAGTGCCGAGTGGACGATCCATCTCAGCCTCCTCCAGTGGTCCCCAGCATTACAGGTACCAGTCTTCAGCCAATTCGATTCACTCCATGTGATATCAAGAAATGGTTGGAGACGCTGGATACTGCAAAGGCTATGGGCCCTGACAACATTCCGCAATAGTACTGAAGACTTGTGGTCCAGAACTTGCCACTCCATTAGCCAAGCTGTTCCAGTACAGTTACAACACTGGTATCTATCAGACAATGTGGAAAATTGCCCAAGTATGTCCTGTACATAAAAAGCAGGACAAATCCAACCCGACCAATTACTGCCCCATCAGTCTCCTCTCGATCATCAGTAAAGTGATGGAAGGTGTCAACAGTGCTATCAAGCAGCACCTGCTCAGAAATAACCTGCTCAGTGACGCCCAGTTTGGGTTCTGCCAGGGCCACTCAGCTCCAGACCTCATTATAGCTTTGGTTCAAACATGGACCAAAGAGCTAAATTCCAGAGGTGAGGTGAGAATGACAGCCCTTGACATCATGGCTGCACTTGACTGAGTGTGGCATCAAAGAGCC